CGTCCCACCCAGACCCAGCTTTCTTCTCGTCTGTCTTTTCTTAACCCTTCACCACCCCTCTCAGGGTCACCAAACCTGGCTGAGCTGGCGTGGCACATAAGGCGCCCTGGGGCTGAGTATGCCATGGCCGTGCCGGCTCGCCACAGGAAAGGATGCTTCCGGCTACCGCCCATCCCAAGGTTTTAGATTTCACTCCAGCTATGACCTTCACCTTTGCCCTCCAGCCATTCTCTAGGATGGACGCACCTCCCTCAGCCACCTGCTAACATCGCCTCATGAACCAGGCCAAACGACCTCACCAAGGCACGGCACAGCTACCAAACATGACTTGGGCCTGGACAGGCTTTCACTTTTTGTTTTAGACAAATGTCTCCCTAGGCGTTGTCTTCCTCCCAAGCGGACTGCCGCAACACGGCCTGTGGTCCCCTCGAGGGGAAATCCGAGAGCATCTTCTTCAGTACCTTTCCCACAAGGAATTAGCAAAATGGGGCAAACTGACCCTTGGCCATGGGGGCCTTCACGTATGGACTTCCACCACCCTTGCCCTCTGGCCCCTGGGGAAACAGGCCTAGCACTGCTGCCCATGGGTGACGAGAAGGTGTCTGCCGATGACAGAGTTTTGGCTCCGCCCTCCCTCTTGCCTCTGAAGTGACTGGGAAACCCCAGGAAGAAGCTGAGAAAGTGAGGAGGGAACTTCTGGGCGCAGGGGTCATTGGATGGCCCTGCTCAGGACTCTGCACAGAACAACCTATCTACCTACACGCACAGAATACTGTGCAGCGGGTGCTGGGTGCAAAAGGGAAAGAGGAGGACACAGGGCTTGGCGCCGAGTCAGTGCCCACCGGCATTCGGAAGGCCCGGCCTGGCCCACCCTGGGTCACAGAGCACAGCTCTACAGAGCTGAGGCAGGAGGCAGGCCCGAGGCTGTAACGTGCACTTGCCCTTGGGCTCAGGGCTTCCAAACAGAAAGAAAGGTAATCTGAGGTCTTGACCCCTCCCCTGAAATCCTCTCAACCCTTAGGGACAGGAGACAATACCAAGGTGACAGGATAGGACTCAGGGCTGGAAGTCAGAAACAGTGGTGGGGCCCAGGCTCAGGGACAGTGTGGGCAGATGTATGCGTGCAATGACGGTCACTATCCAGCACCTCAGACAAGGATAGCATGAGAGTCCAGGACCAGAGACCCAACACCATCGTAGGAAAAACAGAATCCAAATGAAAGGCCCTTGGGGGCGGGAGGAGGGGTGGAGAGGACATAACAAGGAGCGAGACTCCGTCGGCACAGATCCACCTGCTGACTTGGGCCACTCTGTAAACCAGGGGTCCTCAAACTACGGCCCGCGGGCCACGTGCAAATACAAATATTGTATTTGTTCCCGTTTTGTTTTTTTACTTCAAAATAAGATATGTGCAGTGTGCATAGGAATTTGTTCATAGTTTTTTTTTTTAAACTATAGTCCTGCCCTCCAATGGTCTGAGGGACAGTGAACTGGCCCCCTGTTTAAAAAGTTTGAGGACCCCTGCTGTAAACCCTTTGGCCCATTCTGACACCACCTGGTGGGCAGGTCATAAACCCGTATGTGGGGTGGCCTGGAGGCGAAGAAGCTTCTGCACACACCACACAAGAGACCGTGCACAGACGCTGGGTGTGGCCTGCACAAACCTGTTCTCAAGGCCAAAGCCTTCTTCCCTCCTTTGTCTATTCACAAGAGTCAAGGATAAAAACTGCTTTCTCTTTGCTGATCTCAACGGCGAAAGCAATGCAGGCAGGGCCTCCGCCAGGTCACACAGCAGTCACGTTCTCACTGTCCACGCTGACGGGGAAGCGGGCGGCCGGAGTGCTGAACGCCAGCCAATCATTCCTGTCTCACGTCCACGGTTCGCTTTGCAGAACTAGAAGCAGGTCCTGCTTCCTAGTGGAGCCGTTATTCAAGTCAGTTGCTATTTCCTGAGCCCGCGCTGGGCAGTGACCGTGTAAGTAGTCATGGACAGTGCACATGACAGGCGCTCTGCCCTGGAGGACATCACAAGTGAACCCGGGGAGGATGACCGTGAACCCCTGTGGACCAGCCTCTGGGCCAGTCTGCAGGGCAGTCAGCCAGGAGTCCGCGTTCTCTCTAGGATGTCTGCAGCCCGCCTCTTCCCGGGGCTTCCGAAAAGAGGGACATCATTTCAAACTTGAAATCACAGAGCCCATCTGACCAAGTCCTTCTTCAATCTCCTTCTGTTAGAAGTTGCAGAACCCGTCACCCAAGTGTACACCGAGTACAGAAAGATAATCAGGAAACCCATCGACATGATTACCTGGAGGGGACAGCGGGCACAGGGCAGAGGGGGCAGGAGGGCAGCCAGACTTTTTCTCACACAGCTGGATTTTTGAAGCAAATACGTCGATGATCTCTTCAGAAAAAGTAGGACCAGTTTTGAAGGTGGAAGCCCCGAAGGTTCAGTCCCTGATGGAGTTGCGCTGGCAGAAGGCGGTGGGAGGGGGGTGAGCGGAGCCCCCACCACCTGCCCCGTCCTCACCAAGGGCACTGGTGGGTCTGCCTTTTGCCCTCTGCCCTGAGACACCACGGGCCCGGCCCGGCTTTTTCTTTTCTAGCTGAGAAACCACAGCCCAGGGAGCGGGGCTCTGCCCCTGGGTCTCTCTTCCCATGAGCTAGTCAAGAAGAGTCCCACACCCTCCGCCGAAGAAACCAACGCGCCCGGCCCTTTTGAAAGATTTATTTTTCATTAAAAAATAAAAGTGATCTCAACATGTCCGCATTGCAGCTTCCAGGGATGGCAACTTAACGGAGCGAGAAAAAACCAGGCTGCTCGGTTCTCAAGTCACCTGACACTCGCATCAGGGGTTCCAAGGCACACGTGTCTTCAAACAAACTTTATTCAGAAACAGTGGGAATAACGCAGAACTCCCTTCCCCCGACTCTTTCCAGCCCGCCCTCCTCAACCACCCCCCCTCCACAACAACCAAAAAACCTGAAATTCTCTTTTAAAAACTACAGAAATAAGTGCTGAGTCAGCAAGGAACCTGAGCAAGCTGCCCCAGCCCGCTGTATCTTTCTGCTTTGCTGACTGGCTGCCCAGAGGCTGGGCAGGGAGAGAGCTGAGCCGCACCCCCCCCCACCGTGCCAGGTGGGGTGCTCGCCCAGCGCCACAGCCGTCAGCGAGGGCAGGCAGTTCCAAGGCACCGTCTCCCTTTATGCAGGGCATCCTGTGGCTAAAGCATCCTTTCAGGAAGAGAGAGGCCTAAGGCACGTGAGTCTTCTCAAATGCTTGTGATGAAAATGCCAAATGCCAAGGAGACCTGTGGGAGGGAGGGAGGGAGAGAGGGAGGGAGGCAGCTGGCTCTCTGCGCCCTCCCTTTACCAGGCTTTGGGGAGTTTTGCTCTCCTATTCTCCTGCCTTCTCTCTTTCCCTTCTTCCCAGTGTCCCCTGCCCCTCAAAGAGTTTGATTTTAGCTTGACGGTGGCGGGGGTTCCAAAGAGGCTACTGGCAACTCCTGCGGCTGGCCTGGCGGCTCAACCACCTCCAAGGGGACGGGGCAGGCTTGAGGTTCCTGGGTGTCACAGGGCTCCTCCCGTCCCTGCGAGGGCGTGGGGCACTCCTGGCGCTGCGCCTGGCTGTTCATCTTCTCTTCAGCTTCAATCTCTTCGGAGGTGGGGATGGAGTTCTTCTTGGGGCGGCCTTTGGGCTTGGTGGGCGCTTCCTGGCCACCTTTAAGAACCTGGATGGGAGACAAGTGGGCATTAGATCCAAGAAAGAACGCCTTCCCTCCACTTGACACTCAAAAGCATCTATGTTGTTCCCTCCCAGCAGTGACAGAGTTTGGCGAGAAGTATCTTCAACCTGTCACTTCCAGGCTACAAAGACATCTTCATCTTTTTCATGCTCGACGCACTTTTAGTCAGTATCACATCCCTTTTGGCAGTAAATACAAGGATCACAGACCCATAAAAAATCCAACTTCAATAATGAGGAAAGAAATGAAAATTAAGATGTTCATGGGGTAGCAATGAAGTTGACAAGTAAACAAACAAATAATATTTGTAGCAAGCAGGAAAATAAACACTCACACTCCAGGGTCAACATATGTTGGTAAAACCTTTCCAAAGGGCAGTCTGAGAGTTCAAATCGATCAAAAGTTTTACAATGTGCACACTCTGACACAAACATTCCATCTCTAATAATTTAGCCTGAGAAAGTCATCAAAGACAAAAATTGACCTGCAAAACTATTCGTGCCTGGCCTGGTGTGACTCCGTGGTTGAGCATCGGTCCATGAACAAAGAGGTCACCGGCAGTTCCCAGTCAGGGCACCTGCCTGGGTTTTGGGCTCGATCCTCAATAGGGGGCCGATTCTCATCATTGATGTTTCTATCACTATCTCTCCCTCTCCCTTCCTCTCTGAAATCAATAATATATATATTTATACAGTGGGGCCTTCACTTACGAGTTTAATTCGTTCCGAGACCGAGCTCGTTAAGGAGCACGTTAAGGAGCTCGTTAACTCAAATTACTCTATCAACTCAATGCAAAAAATTGGCCGAGAGACAGCTGGTATCTCAAAAAACTCCTTAGTCGGGACACTCGTAAGTCAAGGCCCCACTGTATATATGCTAGTAGTTGCTGATTTCCTGGGCAGCTAGTGAGAAGGGCTAGCACAGATAATCAGGAGCGGGGTATATTTTTGCTACTTACACACCTAGCTTACTCTTCTCTTCCCCATTTGAACAAAAGCTCTTTGAAGGTAAATCCTGCATCAATTCCTTGCTTTTTGCACTCCAAGCATCCAACGTCCGCCTACCTCTCCATGCAGTCACTAAATATTTGTTGACTTCCTGAAACAGCAGCAGAGTACTCCCAGGTGCTGAACTGTAAGAATGAATGTAGGGGGGGATAGAGGGGTAATGGGGGGATAAGGACACATATGTAATACCTTAATCAATAAAGAATTTTTTAAAAAAAGAATGAATGTAGTAACTTGATAAACAATAGTCCCGCTTTTAAAAAACAGCTTTATTGAGATATAATTCACATACTATCCATTTCTGGCGTACAATTTAGTGATTTTTAGTATATTAGTCAAAAAATGTGCAACTATCACCAGAATCCAATTTTAGAACATGTCATCACCCCCAAAAGAAACCCCATGCCCATGAGCAGCCACTCTCCATTTCTCCCCAACTACTGCCCCCCAACCCTAGGCAACCACTAATCTGTTTTCTGCCTCTACAAATGTGCCTATTCTGGACATTTCATATGAATGGCATCATATAATATGTCATCCTTTCACTGGCTTCTTTCACTTAGCATAATGTTTTCAAGGTTCATCCATGTTATAGCACATACCAGTATTTCATTCCTTTTACTGGCCAAATGATATCCATTGTATGGATATACCACATTCTGTTTACCCATTCATCAGTTAACGGACACTTGATGGACACCTGAGTTGTTTCCACCTTCTGGCTATTGTGAATAATGCCTCTATGAACATGGATGTGCACATATCCGCTCAAGTCCCTGTTTTCACATCTTTTGGGTCTATACTGAGAAGTGAAATTGCTGGCTCACATGGTGACTCCATGTTTAACATTTTGAGGAACTTCCACACTATTTTTCAAAGCACCCGCCCCATGTGACAGTCCAGTCAGCAGCATATGAGGATTCTATTTCTCTACATCCTCACCAGCACTTGTTATTATGGTGGTTTTTTTCCTATTAAAACCAGCCCGGTGGGTGTGAAGCCGTTATCATCCTGTTTTGATTTGCATTTCCTTGATGACGAATGACGTTGAGCATCTTTTCATGGGCCAATTGTCTATCTTCTTTGGAGAGATGTCTGTTCAAATCCTTTGCCCGTTTTTAAATTTTTATTATTGAGTCGTAAGAGTTCTTTATGTATTCTGGATACAAGCCTCTTACCAGCTACAAGATTTGTAAATATCTGCAGGTTGTCTTCTCCCTTCCTTGATGTCCTTCACAGCACAAAACATTTTAATTTTGCTGATGGCCAATTGCTTTTTTCTTTTGTTATTTGTGCTTTGGGTGTTATATCTAGGAAGATTTTGCCTAACCCAAGGTCATGAATATTTACTCATACTTTCTTCTAAGAGATTTATTGTTTTAGCCTACACATTTAGGTCTATGAGTCATCTTGAGTTCATTTCTGTGTGCGGTATGAGGAAAACCATACGTTCTCAACAAACACCACCTTTTAGCTGGGAATCGGCCCAACCATGGTGCTTTCCACCGAAACACACAGACTTGAAGGGCACCTCTAACGAGGCATAGATGTCGACAGAATCCACTTTGGGGGAGAAGACACCCCTGGTGTTGTTTTTCACGTCAGTGTCAGTATCTGATGTTGATTTCAGCGCAGGCTGTTGAAAGCACCCGCATGTGCCAAGATGGCATTTACATGTTGAAAGCAGCTCCACTCGGTATGAAAGAGGTTACACAGAACGAAGGTGCCCCATGTAGCAATCCTGTTATAAAAGGGCAAGTCTAAGGAAGCCACCTAATTGGCAAAAGAAAGTCCAGCCCAGCAATTAGAGAGCACCACCCACGCGGCTTGGATGGACCCACCTGGCTGTTTTCATACACACACACACACACACACACACACACACATACACACCAAAACAATCACACCATTTTCTAAGTGGAATAAAACACTCCAGTGCCAGCAATAATTAGGAGATACCTACACTCCTGGCTGCTTTCCATACTCGACCTCTGGCCCTGCCTCCCAGCACACCTGACACGCAATTATCTCACCACCGCCCCGCACTAGGAGCTGCGCGTTCTCATGCACCCCGTGGCCCTTCCCCCGGGACTCCTACTCCCCAATTATTCCTGGAGCCTCATTTAGTCTCCTTGGCCCTGAGTGGGCAGACAACCCATTGCACACAAGGTCCCATGTCGCTGGGAAAAACAACTAACACACCATCTCCTTCTGGTAGCCATGCCCAATGACAGATCCCTCTAGGCCAGTGATGGCGAACCTATGACGTGTGTCAGAGGTGACACTCGAACTCATTTTTTTGGTTGATTTTTCTTTGTTAAATGGCATTTAAATATACAAAATAAATATCAAAAATATAAATCTTTGTTTTACTATGGTTGCAAAGATCAAAAAATTTCTATATGTGACACAGCACCAGAGTTAAGTTAGGGTTTTTCAAAATGCTGACACGCCGAGCTCAAAAGGTTTGCCATCACTGCTCTAGGCTCTAACATGAGATCAAATGTCCTATTGCTAAGGACATCAGGACAAGGCCTCGCTTCCTGTCCAAGGTGCTTAGGTGGGGGGCAGGCAGTTGGACTAGCCGGCAGTGGTTGGCAAACTCATTAGTCAACAGAGCCAAATATCAACAGCACAACGATTGAAATTTCTTTTGAGAGCCAAATTTTTTAAACTTAAACTATATAGGTAGGTACACTGTTATTAACTTAATTAGGGTTCTCCTAAGGCTTAGGAAGAGCCACACTCAAGGGGCCAAAGAGCCGCATGTGGCTCGCGAGCCGCAGTTTGCCGACCACGGGACTACCTCCCCCATTATTTAGACAGGAACCTGAGCTGAGCAGGCAGAGGTGGTTCATCACCGTCAGAGAGCAAGCCGAGGGCAGGGCCGAGATTTGAACACAAAACCCCTGATCATTTGACTCTAACACCCTTCCCAGGATGTCACTGTGCACAATGTGCGAGGGATACGGAAAATGTCCGCTCTGATTTCTGACCTTCCAATATTTATCTGCGGTTACTCAACCTCCCAGCAGAGCCCAGGCCACAGGCTCATTACCGGGAGAGCTCTGTGCTCCTTTTGCTCGAAGGTTCCCTGCAGCTCTATGGGAAAGGGAGAGCCACGTAACTGACGGCTGTGTCCACAGAGCTGGGAAGCAAGTTCGGATTCTCTAGCAGGAGTCTCTTCCCAGGACAGGGCTCAGCGGGCTTTCTCCTCTTGGAAGGGGGATTTTCCACGACATCACAAGCCCTGATGCTAAGGAGCTGACAGGGTGCAGCTGGTTGGCGTGTGGGGAAGGAGAAACCACAACCCCCCAGGGCTGCGTTTAACCAGAGCCCCCAGAAGCTGGCTTCTCTCTTCTGGCCGCCCAAAGTCTGGATTCTCTGGAGATGTGAATTGCATGGATAGGTAAATAATTTTTAAAAAATAACAATAGCCTAGCCAGTGTGGCTCAGTGGTTGAGTGTCAACCTATGAACCAGGAGGCTTAATTCCTGGTCAGGGCACATGCCCGCCTTGTGGGCTTGAACCCCAGTGAGGGCCTTGCAGGAGGCAGCCGATCAATGATTCTCATCATTGATGTTTCTATCTCCCTCTCCCTCTCCCTTCGTCTCTGACGTCAATAAAAATATATTTAAAAAATAATAATAATGTCAACCAAAGAACTTGTATGCATATATGCATAACCCATGGACACTGATAATAGGGTGGTAAAGGCCTGGGGTGGGGGGGAGGCGGGGGCAGGCTAAAAGAGGTCAATGGGGAAACAGGGGGCCATGTAATACTTTCAACAATAAAGATTTGAAAAATAATAAAGTAAAAATAATAATAATGAGAAGAAGAGTAGCAGTTAATACTTCTTGGTCATGTTCTATGCGGCAGGCGCTGTTCTAAGTTTTACCAGGATTAGCTCACCTTTTAAGGAACATATTAGGCTTTTACTGATGAGGAAACAGGTACACAGAGGTTAAGTGACCTGCACAAGGCGACACAGATGGCCACTGGTAGCAGTTTCACGGAACTGTTGATTATCTGCAGACTTTCACTGCAAAAGATGAGGATGCGACCCACCCACCTCTGTGATTGGGGGAGAAGGTTGTATCCACGGGTCCCCTCCCGGAGCACACTTCTGCTTGCATCGTATTTCAGAGCCAAAAAAGACCACTGATGATGACGCTCTTGCGCCTGTTGCAAAACCCTGTGAGTCCTACTGGAACGAAAGCCCAACAGAGACAGAATAGAGTGTCCCATCTCGTGTGCAAGATTGCGTTTACCCAACCCGCTACAGGTTACCAATGCTGACCGGTAAAAACTCGTCAGAGATGCAATCTTGGTTTTGGCAGCACTGCCCTTGGCAGCCGTGCGAATAACTCTGAGAATCAAGTGCTAATCTTTTTCCAGTTCCAATTAGGTTACTAGCCTTGAGACATCTTTATTACCCAATTAGCTTTTTCTTTCCTTCCCAGTACCTGAAGAGATAGCCTTGAAAGCGTCTCACCAGGAAAATGCATGAAGCAATCAGGAGCCCAACAATGCCTCGCTGTTCTGGGGGAGTCAGAGTTCAGACCCGCGACTGAATAGCTCTCACGCTTCAGCCCCAGCCATTCCGAAGTCCTTCGAGTGCCCCCAATACTCTTGTCCCTTTCTTCTGTATGTGACACTCTTCCCACCTTCACTTGGCACCTTTCTATCCATCCACTAGCACCAACTTAGATGGCGCCTCTTCCATGCCCCCCCCTTCCCTATACACCTCTGAATCCTGTAATTCCTTCTGCTGTTGCCCTGATCATTGTGTATAATTACTAGTTTACAGGTCTGTGTCCCCCACTCGACTGAATACCTTTTCTAATTTTATTTAAAAAATTTTTTTAGTTAATTCTCATCTGAGGATATTTTTCCATTGATTTTTTTAGAGAGTGGAAGGTAGGGGGAGAGACAGAGAGAGAAACATCAATGTAAGAGAGACACATCAATTGGTTGCCTCCCGCATGCACCCCAAGCAGGGCCAGGGAGAGGAAGGTTGTATCTAGGGGTCCCCTCCCAGAGCACAATTTGAGCCCACAAACTAGGTACATGCCCTTGACCGGAATCAAACCTGGGACCCTTCAGTCCGCAGGTTGACGCTCTATCCACTGCGCCAAACCAGCCAGGGCTCTAATTTTATTTCTTAGTGGGTGGGTGCATGTCTTATCTTGGCACCTCTGTTGCCTGTGCTCAATGAATGGCTGCTGAGGTTAACTGAAAACTTGGCACTTTTGTTTCCTCAAGGGACCTGAATATGGCTGGCCCGTGGAATGCTCTCTGAGGTTAAGTCTGCTAGGTCCCTTCCATCTTGTTCTATACGGCGCTGATAACCATCAAGAACCAGCTGGTGAAAAACAAGTGACGTCAGAGGCCAGGGCACACGCGTGGTCCCACGGGCCCTGGGCGGTGCTGGCAGAGATGGCAGGCTGTCAGTTCCCTAATCATCTGACTCATGAAAGATTGCTGATAACCAATTTAAACAATGCCTCTGCCACTCCGGGGACACTGATTTCCATGACGGTGATTGACGGGGAAGGAGGTGGGCGGTGGAACTTGCACAGAAAGCAGCGAAGGGACTTGCCCCAAATCTGCCAGGGAGGGGCAAGCCTGGGAACAGAGTTGCTGACTCCCAAATCTGATTCGTCCAGAGATAACCCCCCAAAGGTTCCCGCCATCCGTCTCAGGGGTGCCTTAGCATTCTAGAAATTTTAGAGTAACTACCTGTTCAACTGAATCCCATTCATCCCTCAATTTCAACTTCTCCCTGCGGCTGTCCCCAACACCTCTCTTCTGAACTCTTATGGGGTATTACACCTTTAAATAAACAACCAGGACTTCATGAAAATGTCATTCCCAACTGCTTCCTGGACCTTGATTCTCCAACGAGATCATGAATTCCACGAAGGGCTATATTTTATTTCAGTGCTTCCTCCAGTGCCTAGGACAAGGCATGGTTCACGAGAGACGCTAACTGCATGGGTGTTGAATCATGCGATGTATGTTTGTACATGCACCTGGCATCGCCACCTCACTTCGAGAGAGCACTTCGTGAGCCAAGCCACCGCCAGCCGAAAATCCTTCCATCCCTTGTAGGGTCAGGACCCCCCAGAGGAAATGATGAACTTCGCCCAGGAGTTCCTTTCAGGATATATAATAAATGCTACCTTGTTGGCCTTTTCCTACTTTTTCCATGAATATTCATTTGTAGTTTATTTATTTCTTTTTCTCATTGTTAGCAGGCATGGCAAGAACTACACTTTTAAGAAAAAGTAATATTCGACAAAAAATACGAAATTGAGAAAATGTCAGAATATCTATCACCTATTGAAAAATATCGATTGAAAACTAGGTTGAGGGATGGGTGGGAAATCCTTAGTTATTTGGTAAAGGTGAAAGACTTCATATTCCCATCCTTAAAACAACCAGGAACTATGGCTGGTGACCAGATGGGTTAGCAAGTTAGAACATCATCCCGGCAGACCTGGTCCACATGCGAAGAGAAAGGGCCAGGTCAGAGGCCCTGCCATACCTGGTCTCTGAAGACTAGAACGGAGCTTCTTCCCACCCTCATCCGGCCCTGCCCCTTTCTTCTGGGCTTTGACCTTGTCTCTTGTGGTTTACAAAACTGGAAATGAAACACTCACCTACTTTGAAAAGCTTTGATTTAACATGCCTCTAAAAAGAAGAGGGGTAAACTACTATGAAAATTGAGTTCCTCAAATGCAGATGTTTATTCTTTCTCTTAGCGATATCTACTCTAATAAGTTCTTTTAAAAAACAAAGATGGGCCTGGCTGGCGTGGCTCAGGGGTTGAGCAGTGGCCCATGAACCAGGAGGTCACAGTTCGATTCCCAGTCAGGGCACATGCCCGGGTTGTGGGCTTGATCCCCAGTGTGGGGCATGCAAGAGGCAGCTGATCCATAATCCTCTCTCATCATTGATGTTTCTATTTCTCTCCCCCTTCTCTGAAATCAATACAAATATATTTTAAAAAATAAATAAAAAACAAAGATGGATGGACTCATTAGCCAGGCCCTAGATCAGTATTAGGGAATGGCAGTCATTCTACCACCTGCATCAGAGGAACCTGAGTGCTTGTTAGCACACATTCCCACCCCGTCCTGTGACAGGGAATCAGAGTTCTGGGAGGGGCCTGGGTTCTGCATTGTCACCTGCTACCCAGGTCACTCTGGTGCCCACTGAAGTTTGAGAATCACTGCATTAGAGGACACACAGCTATGAGAACAGATGTGCCCTAAATGTCATTATAAACAAAGAGTCCTGACGTCTATTCTTGGCTGCTGGTGGGAGGCGGAAGGAAGTTCTTTGAAAAGGCTAGCAGGTGGGGTTAAATCTAGCAACTGAGAAGCTTGTGGGCTTTCACTTTCTGTTATTTCTAAGGAAACTAGAAAAGAATATCCTTCTGATCAGGAAATCCAGGTCAGGAGGAATGGCTTACCCTTCTGCTCACACAGCCTGCCTCCCAACCGGCACCATAAAAGGCCTTCCAATCCCATGAGCCCAAACCACATGGTCCTTCCTGCCTTCTTCCCAGCCCTGCGGGAAGGATTCGTTCTGCCATGACGGGCTCATGGTTGGACTCACTCTCTTCTTTCTTACCATTTTCTTCCATTTCATCCTGCGATTCTGATACCAGGTCTTCACCTGCAGTTGAGTGAGTCCCAGAGACTGGGCCAAGTCCAACCTAGAAGGCAAAAGGCACAAAAGAAAGATGAGGGAGAAGAGAAAGGGCAGTAGAGATGGAGTCCTGGTAACTGGTTCCAGGTACTGCTGTCGAAATTCGGACCTTCCCCCTTAAACCAATTCTTCCTCAAAGAGCTTTGCTTTCCTTCCAAAAATCCAACGTTTGAAACTCTGGCAAGCTAGAGACGGATGTCCGTGCCCAAGGACTGTCTACATGGGATCTGAAAAGAATTTCGGAGTCTTCATGGCAAAGTCCTTTTCCTGCAAAGCCTGACAGTCTTTACTCTGATTCTATACAACATGAAGATTCTGACCCAGAATCCAAAGGTAAACTCGTATTTTCCTAATTGGAATCCCACTCATCATTCCAGATCCAGCTCAAGTCCCCCCTCCTGCACGTGAGCCTCCTGGATACCCCCAGTTCATGCAGGATGTCTCCCCTACACCCTCCCCTGGGTCAGCCACCTCCCAGGTGGCTCCAGGTTCTCAGGTGGTCTCTTATTGCTTCACAGCAGTTATTGCTGCCTCCCTAATTCAACTGCAAGAGCAGAGTATGTCTTCTGCTTCTTTCGTAACCACAAAAGTGCCTATCACGTTCTAAATCCAGAACTGTGGCTCCAACACGCTTTCTGATAGGCTCATTGTAGCTTCCCTAAATTGTCATAATGCCAGATTTCCCCCCAAAAAAACCACACATTAAATCTGCAGCCCCTCCTGCTTCCCATTCTACTGCTAACCATGGTTCTGCATTTCTCCATAGCCTTCTGAAAAGTCTTGAATGTCAAAACCATTCCTGGAAAATGTGCAGTTGGAGCCATTTCCAGCAACACAGCAACCGTTGCCTGGGTACCACAGCGCCCAGGCTATGTGCTAAGCCCCTGCCATATGCTATCTTACTTATTCCTTTCACCACACGGTGAAATAGGTATAATTATTCCCATTTTACAGACAGAGATCTGAGGCTCAGAATCTCTTTGAAACCATGGCCAAACCCTGACAGCTGCCTATTTTTGTGAATAAAGTTTTACTGGAACACAGACACGCTCATTCGTTCATATATTATCTATGGCTGCTTTCATGCTACAACCTCTGAGTTGAGTAATTGTGAAAGAGACCACAGGCCCATAAAGCCTAAATATTTACTCCCTGGCCTGTACAGAAAAACTTTGCTGACTGCTGGTAGATGATCCTATAGTAAGAGGTGGAGTCAGGATTCAAATTTATTTACATCTGACTTGTACACCTCCTCCTGTATTGGGGCTCACCTCCACCATTTTTTCATGCAAGTTAGATCTGTCTAAGGCAGTGATGGCGAACCTATGACACGCGTGTCAGAGGTGACATGAGAACTCATTCTTTTGGTTGATTTTTCTTTGTTAAAAGGCATTTAAATATAAAAAATAAATATCAAAAATATGTCTTTGTTTTACTATGGTTGCAAATATCAAAAAATTTCTATATGTGACACGGCACCAGAGTTAAGTTAGGGTTTTTCAAAATGCTGACACGCCGAGCTCAAAAGGTGCACCATCACTGGTCTAAGGGAAGCTCTGTTTTGTTTTGTTTTGTTTTGTTTTGTTAATCCTCACCGGAGGACATTGATTTTTAGAGAGTGGAAGGGAGTGGGGGAGACAGACAGAGAGAGAAACATCAATGTGAGAGAAACACCGATTAATTGCCTCCTGCACACGCCCTGACCTGGGACCAGGGATCGAGCCTGCAACCAAGGCATGTGCCCTTGACCGGAATGGAACCTGAGACCCTTCAGTCTACAGGCCAATGCTCCAACCACTGAGCCAAACCGGCCAGGGCCAAAGGGAAGCTCTTGCTCAGCTTCGGTGAGGGAAGTGCAGGGACGCTCGTCACCAGGAGCAGACAGCGGAGGGGAGCACATGAATGAGGCTGCACTCCTCGGTCCTCAAGCCTGCAACTGTGGACCTGTGTTGTTGAGAACCCCAGGCCTACCTGGGCAACAGTGGGAAGAACCACCTCGGGAGCCTACATTCGCTGCCCTGTGGTTCCAGGCCTGGAAGGTGAGCCAGTGTGGGCCTCTAAGACAGCACCCTGGGCCGTCACCCTTGAGACAGCGTAAGCAGAGACCACCGCTTTGGAAGACTGGGTTTCTGAGGAGTGTGATTTGTGGAGCTAAGATCTATGACCTCACACAGGCCTGCACAGCCACAAGCCTGAGCCAGGGGGAGTCTTAGGGGTTAGTTCTCAGCTGCACCTTTCTCTACCTGAGGGGTAACGAGCAACATCTCACGCTCAGGAAGAGCAGTAGGTGCAGGCAAGGAAGGTTCCAGGTGCCAACTCTTGGCACGCCCAAGTGAGGCTGCCCCACCCCGTGCTTTGACCAGAGTGCACAATTTAAATCTCCAATAATAGCCCTGGCTGGTGAGCTCAGTGGTTAGAGCATCAGCCTGTGCACCAGAGGGCATGTACCTGGGTTGCAGGTTTGATCCCTGGCCTTGGTCAGGGATGTGTCTCTCTCACATTGATATCTCTCTCTCCCTCCCTGCCAGACCTCCCTGCCTTCCTCTTTCTCTCCCTCCCTTAATCCTCTCTGAAAATCACTGGGAAAGATATCCTCAGGTGAGAATTAACAAACAAAAAATAAATAAAATAAAATAAAATAAGTAAATCTCCAACAATAAAAGCAGTCTTTCCTTAAAGGACTTCAGACCCGGTCCTAAATCTGCATTCACATATATCTGGTCGTCCCGGTTAAAGGGCTGCTGGAAGCTGACAGTTTTATTAAAAGCCATTTACAGACTGAAGCTAATCAACTCCCAGCGCCAACGGCGCTCAGCTCTCCCCACGAAGGAGGCACTGCTTCCCAAGCAGCATCTCAGTGAGAACCCAGGGGGCAACCCCAGGACTTCTGGCCTCCCTGGACATGGGTCCCCCGGGGCTCCCACTGCGCCTCCGGAGCCGGTTCACCGGAGGCCACCAGGTGCATCCGTCAGTGGAAGATTCAGTTCACAGCCCTGCCACCGCGTTCGCACACGGGTTAGCTCACTTGGGAAAAATGCACCCTTGGCTCACTCTGGCTAGAGAAACACTTCACTGTCATCAGCTTTCTCTCATTACCTGCCACCGTTACAAATTCTCACTTCCCTGCATAGTCGCTTAAATGGGGTCACCTAGGAAACCGGAGAAACAAACAATGAGGACGAGGGAGAGAGCTGTGGGAGGAGGCAGCGCTCATGGCCCTGGTCACGTACAGAGGTGAGGAACGGCTGAGAGGGCAGGTTAAGGCGGCAGCTTCGATGCCAGCCAAGTGGTGTCCTCCTCCCCAGGCAAGTTCATCAGTCCTGTGGAGGTCACCTGAGAGGCGCCAGGGCAGGTAGCAGGAAGCTCCAGGAGGTTGACTGGGAACTAACAGTTCTGTTTCAAAATTCTCTGACTTCTAGAAGGTAAGCCCACCATGTTACCCGTGCACGCTGAAGGCCTTTCAATACACCGCCCCGCAGTTCATGAAAAATGGTGCCCACTCCACCTGGCTGCTCAGGTATGTGAGGCTCTTCCTTACCTGCTGGGCATGAACGTGGCCCTTTGGTACCTAGAGATCCCATCTATTGATCCCCAATACACAGACCCGTCTCCACTGTCCACCCAAAGGCACCCCACGCTCATGTCCAACCAGAACTCACTCTTTCTCTGTAAAACCCACTCTGTCCTCAGCCTTCCCACTTCAGGTCATGGCGCCTCTGTTTCCCTGGGGGCCCAATCCAGAAACTCTGGAATTCTCAACCCTGTTTCTCTTCCTCATGGCCAAGGTCTATTCTGTCCCTTCCACCTTCAACATTGTTCTCCAACCGCTCCTCTCCTCTCCGTTCCCACCGTGACCACCTTCACTCAGGTCTTCAGTGACTGTCCCTAGTCTCCCTGGTATTCCTGCCCCAGGTCTTCCCTCTCTAATCAATCATGTAGGGTGGCACCGATGTGAGGATTTGGAAATGCAAATCTGGCCATTCCAGCTCTTAATGCTGATTGGACGGCCTCAACAGTCAAGTGCACGTCCTTTGGCTAGGCATACGAGGTTCTTCTCACTTCTGCAGCCTCATCTCCCACCACACCCCCATTCACCCCTTAAGCTGGAGATGTCCTGACCACGTGCAGCTCCCTCAATGTGCCCAGTGAGCATGCTTCTCTCCCTCCTGCAGTGAAAGCTTTTCTTCAACGTTGCCTCCTCTGAGAAGCCTTCCCTAACCCCGCTGACACACTCAGCGACATCTCGGTGCCCCTACTGCCCTTGGTCACACACATCCTGGCGCCAGCGTCCAGCTCACTGGGTTGTAGTATGGCGGTCACTTCCTCTCCAGATCTCCTCAAGAGCAGGACTCTGTCTACTACTTCCTAGACCCATAATCCCCTCCACAGCGCCCAGCATAGAGGACCCTCAGCAAACAGCTAATGGGTGCTCACCTACAGCGGGGCCTTGACTTACGAGTGTCCTGACTAACGAGTTTTTCGAGATATGAGCTGTCTCTCGGCTGATTTTTTGCTTTGAGTTGCGAGCTAAAATTCGGGTTACGAGCCAGCTTCAGATACCCCACTGCTAATTGGCGCAGCGAACGTCACAGTGAACGCCACAACATCAGCCCAGCATCACGTGTCTCACTCGTTCACTTTTGATTTGACATACGAGTAATTTGAGTTACGAGCTCCGTCACGGAACGAATTAAACTCGTAAGTCAAGGCCCCACTGTAATTGACTCAGTCGACAAATTCTCTTTTAGTCAGAGATTTGCATTTAAATGTTTATCCAACAGCTACTACAGAGCTTAAGGGAGGCCTTGGAGTTTCCTTCCTTTTCTCCTGGAAAACACTCCCAATAAAAATAAGCTCAACCATCTCCAGAGTGAGTCTGAGGAACAAGGTAAGACACACACTCTTGGGTATTTTGCGGTTCAGATGCTAAGTTAAAGCAAGGGGCTGAGGCGAAAGCCTCTGAGTAAAGCAGGAGTCCCAGCCCCCTCACCTGGATCTCCAGTTTAAAGAAAGGGATCGGATCCAGGTCCTTTTTGGTCTCAGCCTAGCGCCTCTGACTTGATACCCATCCAACGCACCAGGACATCTGACAGCTCCTCAACCCGATCAATCCAGCCTGCCATCAGGAGCCAGGCAGCGGACCGACCAGGTGGGAGCTGGACTCTGAGAAGGCTGAGAGCGTGGATCCCAACTCCCCATCTAGTCCCACTGCATCTGGTCCTGAGGGTGAGTGACTGTAGAAGCTACGCCTGCTCCCCAGCTGAGAGTCTGGGCAACCGTCCACTAAACTTCCCCTCGCTGCTTACACTGGAGTCGTTAAGTTAAAATATGGAGAGACAGTGAGGAGTACCAGTTCGGCACCAGGCAGGTTCCTGTGGGGACCAAGTGTGATGCGTTCCCATGGGTTGGCTGCTGTTCAACCAAGGCTGAGAAGATGTGGGCCAAGGACCAGGCCCTGCCACCGTGTCCTGCATGTCACGGTCCTTGTGCCCGGGTGTCCCATGGCCAGAGCAAAAGGAGTCTCCTTTCTCAAGGCCCTGAGCTGCGGACAGCCCCTCCCTGGGTGCTCACCTGTCCGGGGTGGACAAATACTTCTGCTTCTGGAATTTCTTCTCCAGGCCCATGAGCTGCAGCTCCGTGAAGATGGTGCGACTCCGGCGGGGTTTCTTCTGCCGCGGGGTGAGCTGCTCCGTCTCGGACTCGCTGCTGCCTAGCGCCTCGCCGCCCGGGGCCTCGGCAGGGGCAGCCTCGGCAGCGGGGTGGCGGGACAGCGTCTGGGCGATTCCCGGGGTGGCGGGGACCAGGTGAGAGATGACTGTGGGCTGTCGGGTGATCACGGAGAGGAGAGGATACGCCCGGAGGGAAGCGGGGCCTGGAAGACAAGCAGGGAGGCAGGTCACCCAGGGAGCCGGGGCGGAAGGAGGCCAGGGCCCTTGGAGGACCACTTGCTGAGACTCTGCCTGGCGGGGCCTCCAGATGGGAAGGAGGGAGGAGAAGAAGAAGCAACTCAAGACCTGTAATGGCTGGGTGGGCAGGATGCGTGCAGATGTGCTCAGCCTGGTGAGGGAGAACGTTCGAGTCCCCCACAGCCAGAAGCACGTTGGGTTTGAAGTGACTCTCCCCCACTCCCCCTCTTTTGGACCCCTAACTTATGGTTTCAGAGACATGGGTCAGTAGGACTGGGCAGGTGAAAAAGTAGTCAGAAAATGCTAGAACCACAAACTTGAGAAAGCCAACCTAGATGTGTAATAGACAAACTTCCTCGAGCCCCCTGTGGTTTTTATAAAAGTCCAGGGTCGTAACTCTGAATGCTTCCTGAGGAGCCTGTACACCCGGAATCATAACATTTTTCAGACCTGGAAGGTGCTTCACAGTTATTTAATTCAACTGCCTCATTTCAGAGACAAGGAAACGGTCCCATAAAGGCTGAGAGACTTGCCTCAGATCACAGAGCTCGGAACCTGTGGTTCAGGGGTCAAACCAAGTTCTTCTGGCTTTGAAGTCCAGTGCGGTTATCGCCACATCTTGAGTCGCATGGATACCTCGTTTAGAAGGGGTGTGGGGGGGGGGGAGGGTGCGACAAAGCGATTTTACACCTTATGACCAGCTGCCTACAGCACTGTGTTAGGGAGGATTCTGAGGCTGGGTCAGAGCTGGCTGAGGGGAGCGCTGAGGTTGATTAGTGCTGTCTGCCCCGGGCACGCAGGAGGCGGATGGTGTGGTGGCAGACACTCTAGTTATGCGACACTCCTTTAGGAATGTCAAGGCCAGAGCATTTTTCTGCCCAAAAATAGGTTATGTCTTTATTTTATTGTTTTTAAAAAATATATTTTATTGATTTTTTACAGAGAGGAAGGGAGAGGGACCGAGAGTTAGAAACATCGATCAGCTGCCTCCTGCACACCCCCTACTGGGATGTGCCCGCAGTCAAGGTATATGCCCTTGACCGGAATCGAACCTGGGACCCTTCAGTCCGCAGGCCGACGCTCTATCCATTGAGCCAAACCAGTCAGGGCATAGGTTATGTCATTAAAGTTCAAGTAACAATGCTCTTCCTCTTCATGATTCAATCGTATCGAGTTTTACATCTTTTAAATGTAAATCATTTTATTTCTCCAGGCCTCAGTTTTGTCCTTCAGAGGGTGAGTAAAAGTAGATCATTCCAGAGTCCTTCAAACTCTAACACTCTGATGCCACGAAAGTGTCTGTCATCCAAGCCCGTCTAGAAGACTCAGGGGCTGCCCCCTGGGACTCAGTCCGGCCCTGATGGCTCGCAGGAGGGCAAGGCAAGCACCCGAGCCCACAGCACTCACGCTGGTTCTGGGCTCAAACCCACGAACATCACGAAGCACCAGGTGCTACTTGTGTCCTCTCTCTCCTCCGGGCTGGCGTTTCCCTTCTTATTCATCCCTAGGCTTCTGTTTGGACCCAGCCATCGTTATCAAAACAGACGACTTCTCCTGTTCTTTGACTCTCCTTGTAGTCAAACCACAGCGTTGCTAAATAATAAAGCCCCAAGGGCCATGACTCCCAGTAATTCTCCCGCCAACACGAACACTGAGGTTTTGGGTAGTCAATTTTTTTCAGAAAGAAAAAAGCATCTGGTAATATTTTGTAGCAGAAAATGAGGACATTGTGCACGGAGGGGAGGGGCAGGGAGCCTGCCCAGCCTGCACCATCTCGCAATCCAGGACTGCTGGCTCCTAACCGCTCGCCTGCCTGCCTGATCGCCCCTAACCACCTCTACCTCGGCCCTTGCCACCACAGCTTCATCGGGAAGGACGTCCGGAATGATGTCCAGAAGGTTGTTCGGCTGTCTGGTCTAATTAGCATATTATGCTTTCATTATTATAGATAACTTGGGCCATAAAGCTTATGCTTAAACTTAATGAAAACCTTCATTTTAAAAAAGAAGAAAACCAAAAACTTCTGATGAATGATAGTGATTTAAGGCAACAGCCTTCACCGAAGTCTATAGTTTCAGGACTCCTGACCCAACGATCTGATGCAAATTGTGACAAAGCCGCACTGTCTCCCACCAGCTAGCTAGAGCACTGATGCCGGGGGGCCACACACACAAAGCCACATGGGAGTGTCAGGAGGACCACCGCTCACCGCTGTCCATAAGTCTAACTACGGCGAGGCGCTGTGTGAGTGTGGGGTGTGTGGGGCCTGTCTCCAGGTTCAGAAGGAACCAAAAGGCTGGAACAGGAGTCAGGGTGGGCATGTGTGTCTGCAATGCACTGAGTCTCCCTACAGGCAAACCAACGGGGCGCAGAAAAGTGAGATGAAATAGACTCTAGCCAGCTGCTCGCTGTCTTTTCCCGTTTTCATACACGACCTGATTTCTAACCAAACAGCACCGGCCCGGAGCTTTAATTCCACAAAGCACGTGCACACCCCCATTTGCTATTCACACAAAAGCGCTGTGAGATAGTCCAGTCACGTATTGATATGTTGGCTACACATCAAATTCAGGTTTTAAAAATAGGAGAAAATGTATCCATGAGCGCATGCATGCGGGGGTCCTTTGGTTTCTGAGAGGGCAGATCATGTGTAACACTATGTACGAAGTTTGTCTTTCCCTTTTCCCGAGAATTCGCACTATGTGACCATGTTGACTGGAGACAGCTGCCTGCCGCCCTTGGACCCTGCGCATACGCTTGTGAAATTCAAGCACAGGATCGGCCCCTGAGAGGGAGTAATGACTGTGCTAAACCGAAGACACTGTTTAAGCAAACATCTTTCGGGCTGACAAAAGGCGTGCAAACGTGACCGCAATGAACGCATTCCCTAATCGTTTTGTTTTTTTTTCAACCACCAACGCCCCTCACCAGTGTTTGCTGTAGGATGTCTCTCGCATAACCGTGTATATCCTGTACCTAGAAATAGTTCCCTACCAAATGTTTGGCCGCTTTGAGAATCTGTTTTGGATCAGAAAAACCGGAGTACATTAGTGGTAGGTTGATGCCCAGGGACGTGCCAGGGACTTAAAACAACTCAGAAACATATAAAGAAGTCTCCCCTCACAGCTTTCAACCCCAAATTGTAGAGACAGACTTCATCATTGTTCCTAGGTATGTACAAACATAGGTATGTTCTGAATATAGTAATTTGTACGCTGATCTATTGACACACATCATTACAAGGTGTTTATTTTGTAAAATATAAATATCACTTTGTTGTTGTTTTTTAATGCAGAGCCAATAATCCCCAAACCATATGATGACTAGTCCAGTGACTTAAAATGTTAAGATACAGTTCGGCTCACAAAGAAATGGAGTTGGGGCCCTAGCTGGTGTGTGGCTCGGTTGGTTGGGGGTCACTCCATGCATCGAAAGGTTGCTGGTTCGATCCCCAGGCGGGACACACGTAGGACCCTGGGTAGGCTAACAGTGCGTTTTCCATTGCACCGATTCTGAAACGGTGAGCTCATGGATGGGAACTCGCTCAGGCCATGCACAGGCACATCTCCTCACTAAGCCCTTCACCGCAGGGGCCCCATCCACTCCTGCCACAGCTGCGCCTCAACGTTGGAGAGAATCCCGAGTAGCTGTTGCTCCTATACATCCCGCCTGCACTTCTCCTCCATCCCTCCACCATGCCAGTCCCCAGTGGGCTCTCCACACCCACATGTCCGCTTGGCACAGGGAGGGCCACAGGTCCGAGGGGAGAAGCCTCTCCGAGCTGCCTGCCTGTCCGATTTATGGGGCAGGAACGCATGATGCATATGTCCGCAGACAGCCTCAGACGGACACACAAGCGCACAAAGACACGGGTGTGGACCGAGTCAGCCGACCTGAAGAGGGACTCGGAGGAACAACTGGGTAGCTGGCTGCTTCCTGGGAAGAGTCATAAAACCACCGCACCCCAGTATTTCCAGGGGCTCCCACCCCTGCAAACCCGCTGGGAATTCTGAGTCGTGGAAAGAATAGGGCCTCTCCCAGTGACTTGTGGGGTCACCGTAAGCAGGCTTCTAAAACTTTCTTAGTTTCAATTCCTTCTTCTAAAAGCAGGGCTAATAATTGCAGGTAATTGTGAGGATTAAATGCGTCAACGTACGTCAAGTGCCCGTTGGGCATGTAATTGCTCTTCGTTCCCTTTCCTTTCCTCCTCTCACTTTTGTTGCCTGGCACTCTGTGCGTGTGTCAAGTGAAAGTGGATCAACTGTCTTATCAAGAAAGCAGGCTCACCACCGGCCAGTGTGGCTCAGTGGTTGCGCACTGACCTATGAATCAGGAGGTCACGGTTAGATTCCCGGTCAGGGCACGTGCCTGGATTGTGGACTCCATCCCCAGCAGGAGGTGGGCAGGAGGCAGCTGATCACTGATTCTCATCATTGATGTTTCTCTTTCTCTCTCTTCCTCTCTGAAATCAATAAAAAGTATATGTAAAAAAAGAAAGCAGACCTACCTCTGAACTATGCATGTGTATCTTCTTACCTGCTGCGCATTCATGTGCCAAGCAAGACCCAGAAACACCAGAATCTGCCAGTTTTTCTTTGCCAAAGAGAGGATTTCAAATGCCCTTACAGTGATGTCCTGAGACTGACAGTGACAGGAGAGCTAAGGGGAATCTGCGGGAGGGCCAACCTGGCCAGAGGTCCCCCTAGAACAGCGGTTCCCAACCTGTGGGTCGAGATCCCTTTGGCGGTCGAACGACCCTTTCACAGGGGTCGCCTAAGACCATCCTGCATATCAGATATTTACATTATGATTCATAACAGTAGCAACGTTACAGTGATGAAGCAGCAACGAAAATAATTTGATGGTTGGGTCACAACATGAGGAACTGTATTTAAAGGGCCAGAAGGTTGAGAACCACTGCCCTAGAACTATCAGGGCTCCAGTAAGAAGTGCTCTGGTTTTGCAG